TTCACTCCTCCACCAGGAGGTGCACATGCACGTACGTGACTGTACGATGCAGCACGTAGCTGTACATTGAACCAGATCCAACTTTTTTTCCAGCACCATTCTTCATTTTGGCAGAGCCCCCAGGGCATCGGCCCCCACTACACATATACATGTCATCCTTTCAAATTAATAAAAATGGCTGCTCGTTTTTCACACATGGAAAATGTGTGAATCCAGCTCAGGATTCTACAAACATACCGAGTCTGAGCTGACACTGGGTGTAGCAGCAAACTAAAAGCCCTCCGAATCCACATAAAGCACAGGGACAGAGACTGGGTGTAAAACTACTGTCCAGGTCATGTTTACAGGTATAGAGCAGGAGTGTGCCACCACCTGTGTCCACAGCTGGAGTGGTTAAAACAAACATCTGGTCTGTCAGACGTGTGTCACACTGACATATTGGCGACATCACAATGGCAACCTGCTGCTAATGTTCATCAGACACCCCGTTTGCACATTTTTTAATGGGAACTAGGCACAAAACAACTTCGGCTACAAGTGTGCTTCCCAAGAGTTCCACCGAAATGTGTGTATACAAAGCAGGGCGCACCAGCCCACAGAAGAGCCAACGTGCACGTCTCACAAATCACAACACATCATGCAGACCTGTACATGAAGAAAGTGTTCGGCCCGTCTCCTACAGACAGAAGAGGAGGAAAAAACACACGTTGATGCAAAAGGAGGCAGCTCCAGATGCGGCTCGTGTGTGTGTTCACCCAGCAGGTGTTTGTGAAACGCGTGTGAAGCACAGTGTGTTGGGCTGTGCGTGTGACGGAGCTGGAAAGAGCACGAACTGGACAGAGAACACAAGAAATGACCAGGCGTGAGGGACAAACAGAAAAGCTGAAAGCAACAGTGAATATCAGCCACACACTGACACACAGCTGTGTCGTGTTTACCCAGCAGCCCCCGGGTCCACTCAGGCCTGTGGTGCAGACTGACGGCTCGCTGCTGCCACCAGCTGCTCGTCGACATGTACTGGAATGTTTTCTTATTAATCACCAGGTTATGAGCACAGATCTGATGTATTAGGCTCTGCCATGTACCATGTCAGCAGAACCTGGACAAGTCAAAGGAAAACCAAAGGCCCATCAAGCAGCCTACAGCCTCACGTCCTACCAGGCAGAAGACGACGGATTTAACCAAAGCCAGCTATATGTCAACACTGACAAACAGCACAAACAGTGTGCGGACTCCTGTTCCACCTTCCGTGGCACGTCTTGTTCATTATCACTGCGCAAGGCGGTGTTACAGCACTGCTGCGTCTTACTGGGCGGTTTGTGGAGACGCACATGATGAGGCCCGGGCGCCAGGTTTGGGGGAAACGTGGAGATGTTTTCACTATAACCCAGTAAATCTGTAGCTCCTGCTCCGGTGATGGTAAAGGCCAGCTGTTCACACCGGTGCAGAAACTGGTCCTCTGCTGTTTGTGCGTCATTAAACCACCAATTTGTTTTGTGCACTTCTTCTGCTCTCAGTATCTCGGTCTGAAATGTTTACATGTGGCAGAAATTTTGAAACATTTTATTGGAATCAAAATATTAAATCTGAATTTTGAAAACTATCACTGAGCAAAAGTGGAGAAAGTGCCAAGGAACTGAAGCCTGCTTTGTACTGTGTCAGGAGCAGCTCTCACATGTCCCCGTTCCAGTGGCTGAAACCTGCTGAGGCCCTGGTTCATGCATTACAGTCTGGAAGCCTGTCCCCTTTATTCATCCCAGATCACACTGAGCACAACACACACACTCTCTGAGCTCTGAGCCTCTCGGGTTATTTTGGGGGTCAGCTGTTGTTGGTGTCGTCACAGGACCCTCCTCCTCTCTTCTTCCTCTGCCTCTCTCTGTCTCCTCTTCACCTCCTGTCTGCCACTTCACCGATCCTGGTAAGACCAGCTCTGATTTCTCCTACTCCTACTAGTCACTGTTTTAGTAAACTGTTGGTTCGTGTGTGTGTGTTGTAGCCACAGTCCATTAACAGAAGTGTCACCTTTTAATACTTTGTTCTTTCCCAAGTGGAAAATAACTTTGGTATCATAACTGTCTAGTCCTGGTCCAGGCACTGAATTTGGCAATAAATTACAGCTGACATAGTCATTTAGTTTACAGTATAATATGACATTAATGTACAAGACAGGAGCGAGACGTGAAAGCTTCCATCATGGCTGCCAGTCTCTGTGAAGTCACTGGTCTGAACTGTCAGACAGACTGGGAGGTTTTATTAACAGAGGGACGGTGCGTGTATTTAAATACTATACATTTCCTAAACATGGACTGTGTGTGTGTGTGTGGCAGGAGGCAGAGAGACAACATGTGATATGTTTTTAGGTGTTTTACTTATATAATAAAGCACTAACATAGGCCACTACAGTGTCAGGGAGCATATCAGATTAAATGACTAGAAACAGTGGTTCACACTTGGTTGGCATAGTCCACTCGCCACTGTAGGAATGTGTGTGTGTGTGTGTGTGTGTGTGTGTGTGTGTGTGAGTGTGAGTGGGGGTCAGCGGCTCAAACAGCTAATTTTAACTTACCAGATACAATAACAGCGGCAGCTGTCACGTTGCGACAGAGCTGTGGGGATAAACACACAGTTGGAAAACCAGGCTGCCGCATTAGCAGCAGCTCCACCATTGTTACACCTCAGCAGAATAAACCTGTCAGTGTGAAAAGTCACATTTCAGCTGGGCCAGTTTGTTTATGAACTAACAAGCTAACACAGGATGCACCAGGAGGACTAACTTTAAATGTTCTGTCCCAGAACACTGAGGATGGAGACGTCGGTGAAAGCAACGAATTTGTTGGTGCCGCCCCAGGCTGACGAGGCATCATCCTCCCCAGACGCTGAGGGCACCGAGGGGGATGTTGCGGCTGCAGCTGGCAGCTCCTCCTCCGACTTCTTCGACCCCATGAAGGAGTTCAGCAGACGCCTAGAGGACATCATCAGCACATACAGCTCCACAGCCAACCCCCTGGATGGACAGGTGGGGCAGGACCTCAGCATCATTTACAGATGTTCACACAACCTGTACAGATGTTTCCAGGGTGTGGTTGATAAATGGGAGTGTGCATAAAAAGCTGTGTATTGTTTTAAATGCATTAGAGTGCAGTGGAGGTGGAGCTGGAAAAGAATGAGGAAGCAAAAGAGGACGTCACAGGTGCAGTGGATACAGGTGAGGAATAGCGCCATCACCAGGACAGTACTGGCATGACTGTGTGAGCCCCTACCATTATGGTTAAAGGGACATTTCTTAGTTTTAATAAAGTTGGAGAACATGCAGGAGATAAATTTTAAAAAACAGTAATAAAGGTCAACTCCAAAGCACTGGGCCCTCCGCTCTCCAGGACGCTACTGGATGTGCTATGTCATTAACTGGGTCGTGTTACACTAGCTCAAGACTTCACATGAACATACTGATGCACTTAGAATGAAACAACTGGTTGCCAACATCACATCTAGTGAGAAACCCTTGATTCAGACACTGTGACAACTCAAATCCTGTCACAGTATCAGAAGCTTAAACAGATCCAGTGGAGGTAAACACATTTCTACAGTTTACACAGCAGAATGTGAATAAGCTCTCCTGGAATAAAACATATTTAAGGGTAAAACTGGTGAAAGTTTTATTTCTGATTGATTCTGTGAGAAAATTACCAACCGGATGTGCACGTCCTGCTTCTGTCTTCACTGCAGAGGTCTCTCTGGTCCTGCAGAGTCTGGACAACCTCTCTTCTCCAGAGGAGAAACTGGAGAGCCTGGTCAGGAAATATGCTAAACTGGTGAGACTCAGCTCGGACATTTACAGTTTGGTTGTGTTTGCTCTTTAGGCCTATTCACAGTTTCGTCATATAATTACAGCCACAACAAAGCAAAGCGGTCTTCTCACCCTCCATCTGTGTGTGTGCAGGCAGTCCTGCAGCGCTGTGATGAGAAGCAGCTGAGTGGTCTGCGGCGCACGTTGTCTGTGCTGCTGGAGGACAGACGGCAGCTGCAGGCCGAGCAGTGCAGCAGCGCTGCAGCTCGCAGCAAACTGGAGGCTCTGTGCAGAGAGCTGCAGCGACACTACGGCGTACTGATGGTATGTGGGTACAGCTGACTGCGTGCACTGTGACGTGTCAAGGTATTTTACATTACAGAATAACAATAGCTGCTGGTAGAAGCTAAAGATGCTGTGAAATCATGGCCTTGAAATGTTCTCCATTATTAGAAACACTGTGCAGCCAGTCTGACACTAAAATTAAGTGAAAGAAAAAGCAGAATCTGCACAACTGGGCCTCTTTCTTTTCCATCCCGGTGCCTCCATCCTGCCTCCTCCCTCTTCAGGAGGACACCCTTCAGCGCTGCAGGGAGGATGAGGAGAAGAGGAACGAGATGACCTCCCACTTCCAGAAGATGCTGACAGAAATCCAGGTTCAGATCGAGCAGCACAACGCCCGAAACGACAAGCTGTGCCGCGAAAACACCAACCTGACCGATAAACTGGAGAGTCTGATGAACCAGTGCGAGCTGAAGGAGGAGGTATGGGCAGCACAAAGGTCAAAGGTCATGTATTAATCCTTTAGAATTAATACATCCACATTTACTAATAAGAAAACATTGAAATGCTATAGTTTAATTAGTCAGTTGACAATGCTCAGTGAACTGAACACCTGTGGTTCTGGACTCTAATCGAACAAAACAAGCAATTTGAATATTTTAAGTTGGAAACTGGAACATCTTACAGGGATCATCTCACTGAGAAACGTATACAGACAGATTCATCCCTAAAGAGCGAGAGCTTTAGATTCAGATTCTCTTTACCACACTTGTCTGCAGAGTTTGGAGAAGATCAACCGGCACCGCGACCTGCAGCAGAAACTGACCGAAGCCAAACTGCAGCAGGCCAACGTTCTGCTGGCCGAGGCCGAGGAGAAACACAAGAGAGAGAAGGAATATGTGAGTACAAACAAGTCGAGACATTAGATAGGAACATGTGACACCACGGTGAGCCAGGGTGAAACTGAAAATCATCATAAGATTTCTAAAAAGAGGTTGTGTTAGCTGATGCTGTAATAATCACTGTTCAGGTTCTCTGCAGGGCAGGTTTTTCTTTCCATCAGAACTGTTATACACTGTAACTGATGTACAAACTTCTCATTTTTAAACATTTCAGTGTTTTACAACATCCTTTTAGTATCTTGGATCTGTTTCACATAAACTCTTGTAACCCAGAGATATACAGAAATCTACTGTTACTGCTTTAAGGTACCAGTTACATCACTTATGGTCATTAATGATCAATTATTCATCTGTTCATTTCATAGTAGTTTAAGAAGAACCCTGACTGTGAAGCCTGTAAGAATTAAAGCCATGGTTTTAAAGCTTGTTAACATCATCTACATTACCTGTGATTCTCCATAGCAGAAGCAACACGTTAGCCATCCCTGTCATGTCGGGGCTTCTCAGAGTGACTCTGTATTGTCTCTGTCACCATAGTTGCTTAGGGAGGCTATTGACAAAACAAAGAAATGCGTCGCTATGAAGGAGCAGGAGCTGGCCATGAAGAAGAAGGTAAAGAAGCATCTGTAATGTGTCTCTGTCTGTTCTCTTCTAACCAGTTACTGGTTCAGGCTGCTGAGTGGAAACTGCAGGCTCAGACACTCAGAGAGCAGGGGACTGTCATGCAGGCACAGGTGAATACTCACTAACCACGAGGACAGGTAGCACACACCTGGTGTCGGCAGCTGGGCACATGACTGTACGTGTTACGGAGGGATCGGGCTGTAGGGATACTGCACCTACCACACAACATCTGCATCTGCAAGTTTAACCAGACAAAGTAACATCTGAATGATCTTCACAGAGGACAGAAGCTAAAGATGGACAGAAACACATCAGCCAGAAAACTGTAAAACATGAACAGCCTCACTACAGAAGATAATCACCAAAGACTTGGTCGTTAAAGTGCGACTTCTTCTGCCGACACATTAGCTGAAGGGTTTGTGAGGCTTGATCAGTATCCTCCGGCAGAGTGCGTGGCCCAGTAAATGACTTCTTATTTATCATTTAGGAGCCTGGTCAGTCTCCACAAAGTCAGGTCTTACTCCCTTAAACATATGATCATGTTCCTGTGCTGGGAATTGTGTTTTTGTCTTTTCAAAGCAAAATGACCACATTCGGAAAAAGTACATAAAAAGCATCAAATCTTTAAATTCCAGTCAGGTCATAATGAGTCAGATTGAGCCTGATTCCGGTGAGCTGCAGTGATCCTGCTGTTTCCTCTTCACCATCATGAGCCTCAAGCTAGGACACACTCTGGAACCTTTTCAAAATGAAGTTTCCCTAAGTGACATTTGATAGTTGTAGTTAATTAAGCAGCAATTCTAATCAGAACTGACTTTAGATTTTAAGTTGACCTTATTTGAATGTCATGCCTGGTCTTTTGCGTCTGTCTGCAGCTGACCCTCTACGGCCAGAAGTTCGATGAGTTCCAGGAGACTCTGGCCAAAAGCAATGAAATCTACGTCCACTTCAAACAGGAGATGAATAATGTACGTGGTGACAGTTTGTACACGAGGCCTTGTTTGTTCCAGTCTCACTCTCTCGATGAGTCCTCTGAAAGCTGAGGATCTCATTTTGAAGCTTTCGTTACTTCTAGTCTCTCTAGCATGTTTGTGTCCACTTGTAGATGTCAGACAAGATGAAGAAGCTGGAGAAAGAGTCGAATCTGTGGAAGACTAGGTTTGAGAACTGCAACAAGGCTCTGACTGACATGATAGAAGAGGTATGTTGACCACGTCGCCGTGCCAGGTTGAACTCGTTTGGCCACTGAGCTTTAAACGATTGAGCTGGACCTAACAGGTCAAGCCAGCAAAGTGATTCAGAGATTCTACCTCTGTTTTGCAGAATTGTTAATAAGGATCTAAATGTCATCTAACAGCAGGAACTGATTCATCTTCTTTGAGAAAAGCTATTGGATAGTTCTGATCAACTGTTTTGTTTGGAAGGAAAATGACATTAATATACATTTGTAAGCCAAATAACGACTTACTCCTCTCACCATGTCTCACTTTGTTCACTTCTCATTTTCTCCATTCTTGTCTCCTGCTCCAGAGGACAGAGAAAGGCAAAGAGTACGACCTGTTTGTCCTGAAGATTCAGAGGCTGGAGAAGCTGTGTCGCGCCCTGCAGGATGAGAGGGCAGTCCTCTATGACAAGATCAGAGAAGTCCGCCAAGCTAACTCCAACCTCCCAGCAAAGCTCTTCGGCACCTCTAACCCTGACAACAACCCTGAGGCTGAAAACACATCTGACCTCCTGACTGCTGCCGAGGCCCAGGAGATCCAAGAGGAGGATGTGGTCCTGACAGAGGACATGGCTCGTCTGCGGGAGGAGCAGACCAAGCTGCAGAAGTTTGCCGCCTCCCTGTTGGCCTCACCCTCAGACAATGACGAAGACAATGATGATATAGACCTTGAAGAAGACATAGTGGCTTCTGCTTTTGTCCAGTTCAAAACCAAAGCGAAGGTCAAAGAAGAGCCGGTTTCAGTCCCTGAGCAGATGGTAGACGTGAAATCGGAGGCAGCAGAGCCTAACCTCCCACAGCCAGATAAAACTGAGGAGGTTCAAAAGCCACATGTGTCAACACCAGAAGCTCTGACACCTGAGGACAAGACTTCTGAAACAATACCAACAGAACCAAAGCTAGAAGCAGAAAAGGTCCAAATACAAGTCAAACCCACTGAGGAGATCCAGCAGCAGCAGGAGGAAGTGACACCAGAGGCTGAAGTTAAGACTGGTCCTCCAGCAGAGCCAAAGCCAGAAGCTGAAATGCAAATCGAGGTCAAAGACGTGCAACAAGTCAAACCTGCTGAGAAGATTCAGCAGCAGCAGGAGCTGACACCAGAGGCTGAAAAAGTCCAGATCGATTCACCAACAGACCCGAAACCTGAAGCAGCAGAGGCTACAATCCTGGAGGAGACGGGTGAGGTCAAACCAGTGGTACCAGTGGAAGAGGAGAAGGTCCAGCAGCAGCCCAGTGAACCTGTGCAGGTATCAGCTGAAGCACCAAACAAGTCAAAGTCAACTCCACTGTCTGAACACACTAAGAATGCTGCCTCCCCCACAAAGCAGACGCCAAAGAAAAAGAAGAAGAATAAGGGCGGCAAAAATGCTAGCTAGAGTTTAGGACATGCAGGAGGTGTGTGTGTGTGTTTGTGTGTCAGTCATAGATTCCCTTTGCACCTTTGTAAACTTTAAAATCCTTAGTTTGTCCAAGCTGGTGGTCACTGGTACAGAGTCAGTGTTACCACAAGAGGACAGACAAATACAGTGACTGTATTTTACAGTTTGAACGTCTCAGTGAAGACCGAGGGAAGGAAAGGCCTCACTGACAGGAACTGTTCATGTTAACACAAGTAAAAAGAAAGGTGTCTGCCTTCTTCCATGTATCTGTACCAGTGAATCTGCAGTGTCTCTTTTAAACCAGTAACCATAATGCATTGCAACAACTCCAATAAAGACATGCATTGGACAGTTTGACATTTTTGTGCGCTTGAGTCCCTGTTTGTGTGAAATCTTACATCACAGTCATTAGTCTTGTAGCATACAGTTTTTTCATGTACATGCGTTTTTGACTGATGCTCTTCTGATTCTCCAGTAACAAATATTTTGTTAAAATACCAAGCAAACATGCAGCTGGGTCACCAATATACCCGCATGTACACAACAGAAACCAAGTTTTAATCCTTGTACTGGTAAGGTCTAATATGCAGATCACACTGGTGCCTATAAATCTGACCTCCAAATACAAACATCAGAGAAACGCTGAAAAAAGTGTGACACCACTTGTCTGTACTGCAGTACAAAGCAGTTAGATGGAGCTGGTTTCCTCCTCAGGCGAAGAGCCTCACACCCACATGTAATGATCTTATGCTGCAGTTCCACCTTCTGGCCACTAGATGGAAGCAAAACTATTCACATCACCACTTTAAATGACTGCAATTTGAGCTTCAAGAAATTTCAATGACCTCAAGGTTTTGGACACACGTGTTTCAGGCTCAGTTACTGCACTTAGACTTGTGGTCCAGTTTTTTGTGTCAATGATTTACAGGGACCTTAAACACTAATCCTGACAGTTTCACTGACACTAAACATGAGAACCTGCAGCCTGTTTAGTAGGTAGAGGTAGAAGGTACTGATAACACAGTTTATAAACCCCTGTTATGAGATTTCACACTGAAAATAGTCCAAAGTATCAAAGAGAGGATTCACATGTCTGAGATGTTTCTGCACAGTCGCCTCAGCTCCGCTCTCCTCAGTCTCACAGGTGCCTCACCAACAATCAGTCTGCAGCCAACAGGTGCACCAGGTAGGCAGAGGCCTCCTCAGATATGCCTGTCTGGACTCACACGTCTGTCCTCTTCACAAAATCTATATATCTCTGACATGAAGAGGTTTTAGTGCTACAGGATGTTCCTCATACTTTTGGGATAAAGTTGTAAGTTTTACATTGTGATTTTATTAAATAACAAATGGGTTCATGTGTCAACAAAACAGTTTAGCTTCCTAAGGCTTCACTCATAAATATCAGACTATGTTTTATACAAACCAGATGTTCTTTAACAGCTGTATTGTTTTTTATTTTAGGCACTAAAGCTGCTGATCGGATTCAAAGTGACTAAAATGACTTTAATAGTGTAAGAATGTTCATTTCCTCATACACTATACAGTGCCTTGCAAAAGTATTCGGCCCCCTTGAACTTTGCGACCTTTTGCCACATTTCAGGCTTCAAACATAAAGATATAAAACTGTAATTTTTTGTGAAGAATCAACAACAAGTGGGACACAATCATGAAGTGGAACGAAATTTATTGGATATTTCAAACGTTTTTAACAAATAAAAAACTGAAAAATCGGGCATGCAAATTTATTCAGCCCCCTTAAGTTAATACTTTGTAGCGCCACCTTTTGCTGCGATTACAGCTGTAAGTCGCTTGGGGTATGTCTCTATCAGTTTTGCACATCAAGAGACTGAAATTTTTGCCCATTCCGCCTTGCAAAACAGCTCGAGCTCAGTGAGGTTGGATAGAGAGCGTTTGTGAACAGCAGTTTTCAGTTCTTCCCACAGATTCTCGATTGGATTCAGGTCTGGACTTTGACTTGGCCATTCTAACACCTGGATATGTTTATTTGTGAACCATTCCAATGTAGATTTTGCTTTATGTTTTGGATCATTGTCTTGTTGGAAGACAAATCTCCGTCCCAGTCTCAGGTCTTTTGCAGACTCCATCAGGTTTCCTTCCAAAATGGTCCTGTATTTGGCTCCATCCATCTTCCCATCAATTTTAACCATCTTCCCTGTCCCTGCTGAAGAAAAGCAGGCCCAAACCATGATGCTGCCACCACCATGTTTGACAGTGGGGATGGTGTGTTCAAGGTGATGAGCTGTGTTGCTTTTACGCCAAACATAACATTTTGCATTGTTGCCAAAAAGTTCGATTTTGGTTTCATCTGACCAGAGCACCTTCTTCCACATGTTTGGTGCGTCTCCCAGGTGGCTTGTGGCAAACTTTAAACGACACTTTTTATGGATATCTTTAAGAAATGGCTTTCTTCTTGCCACTCTTCCATAAAGGCCAGATTTGAACTTTTTGGCAACAATGCAAAATGTTATGTTTGGCGTAAAAGCAACACAGCTCATCACCCTGAACACACCATCCCCATTGTCAAACATGGTGGTGGCAGCATCATGTTTTGGGCCTGCTTTTCTTCAGCAGGGACAGGGAAGATGGTTAAACTTGATGGGAAGATGGATGGAGCCAAATACAGGACCATTCTGGAAGGAAACCTGATGGAGTCTGCAACAGACCTGAGACTGGGACGGAGATTTGTCTTCCAACAAGACAATGATCCAAAACATAAAGCCAAATCTACAATGGAATGGTTCACAAATAAACATATCTAGGTGTTAGAATGGCCAAGTCAAAGTCCAGACCTGAATCCAATCGAGAATCTGTGGAAAGAGCTGAAAACTGCTGTTCACAAACGCTCTCCATCCAACCTCACTGAGCTCGAGCTGTTTTGCAAGGCGGAATGGGCAAAAATTTCAGTCTCTCGATGTGCAAAACTGATAGAGACATACCCCAAGTGACTTACAGCTGTAATCGCAGCAAAAGGTGGCGCTACAAAGTATTAACTTAAGGGGGCTGAATAATTTTGCACGCCCAATTTTTCAGTTTTTTATTTGTTAAAAAAGTTTGAAATATCCAATAAATTTCGTTCCACTTCATGATTGTGTCCCACTTGTTGTTGATTCTTCACAAAAAATTACAATTTTATATCTTTATGTTTGAAGCCTGAAATGTGGCAAAAGGTTGCAAAGTTCAAGGGGGCCGAATACTTTCGCAAGGCACTGTATGTGGCCATCACCACAGCCAGAAACCAACAGCGTCTCTGAGGCTTCGACAGCAAAGGGCCTGCTCCTCTCCACCGTGGTTTATGAAAAAGTTTTACATTGTTCAGAAAAAATAAAAAAGGAAACCGTAGAGAAGTACAAAGGATGTTTAGAGCTGAAGATAAGAATGGAGCAGTGATATGGGAGCGGGGGTTGATCAGAGGCAGAAGTGAAGCGTTTTTTTGAAGTTTCGACTTTGTGAAAGAAGATAAGAGTTGATTTAATGAGCCTGTGTGGAGGACGTGAGCAGAGACACTCTGTTTATTACGCTGGTGTGGAGTTAAGTAATAATCCTGTCCTTAAGTAAAGTTCATCAGGTTGGTGCCGCCATGGCCCGGTTACACAGAACCTTCCTTTGTTCAGTATGACTCAGCTGTTTACTCCTGAGTCAGTGCTGCAGCAGTGAATCGATGCTGCCGGTTGTTACAGCTCTGAAAGTCACCCAGTCTTCACCAGACTGGGCTGGGCACTGGTCCATGAAACAACCAGGGCGTCAGACAGAACCGTGAAACTGCTCAGGTCAAAGGTGACCAAACAATCTGACCTGGGGTCCCTTTAGCAGCTATGTTACAGCACTCGCTGTCTTTCTTTCTTCTTCTCTGGCAGATGGAGCTGAACCTGCTGGAAACGCAGAAAAATGTGTTCTTTCAGGACGTTGATGACTTCTTCTCCATATAAACAGTTGTGTTTCTGAGAAGATGTCGCCTGAAGATACGGCCCGGCGTTCCAGGATGGATACTGATCTATTTAGCCTGATCACCCCCATCCCCCACCGCGGTGTATCTCTCCTCCAGTTAATATCAAAGACCTGAAAAAACTACAGCTCTGACTGCTTCCCTCTAACTGGTCGACACATTCTTGTAAAAGTGGCCTATAAAATAAATAAAGTGCCAACATTCTTGAACACATTAGGCTGAGCTGCAGGTCGACTCCCCAGCTCCCAGCTGAAACTCATATGAGGGGTTTTGGCTTAAGTTCTGCCAAGTGTTCATTAAGAAACTGCAGGTGGAAAATGTAAATGAATGGAATGTGTCACATTTAAATATGTGTGTGTGTGTTTCTACACAGCCCTGAGTCTGAAACACACCCAGTCTATCTGCATGAAGCCTGCCTGTCGCCCGGCCACGTGCAGGAGGTGAGTTTCTCGTGTGCTGGTGATTAAACTAAGCCAAGCTGCTTTTGTAGCATCGTGTGCCTGAAACACATGATGTGAGACAGACAGAGACGCTGACGACTTTCCTTTAATCCATTCAAGCATCACAGTCTTTCTAACACACACACTTCTACAGCCTCCACACTTCAGATCCCTGTCTTTTCAGCTGATGTTGAACCAGCTTCCAGTCCAACAATAAACACGTCTTTCTAATGCATGTTCATATAATCGTCCAAAACCTGTGCTCGGTGCTGGATGTGCTCGGTTCCTCTACTTAGTACATGGTTTGTCATCTGATTGAATATGTGCTTCAAATGTGTTTTTGCTTTCATTATAAGTAACATTTGATTGAAATCCATTGAGCAGAAGCAAACGTTCAGTGTTTCTAAGCTGGTTTCCAGGACATGGAGCATGGAGCCAAAAAAGTCATCCCAGAATGAGTCTGAGAGAAATCACTGCCTGTTCCGCTGATGAACAAAACAGAGGCTGTTTCTGTCTGAGTGGGAGCCAAATTCAGGTCACTTTCACTGAGAAGATAAACGCAAGGTGTCAACTACCCCCCCCCCAAACACACACACAAGAATGTACTTCAGAATGTACTTCACTACACCTGGGTCTTCTTGCTTGCTCTGCTCGTCACTCTCTCACTCAAACTCTTCCACCTCTTCAACCCAACAAATGAGTTCAGTCACTACTGGACAACCTGCAAATTGTACCAGTGCGTGTGTGTGTGTGTGTGTGTGTGTGTGTGTGCATGCGCTGCACACAGAAGTATCTGAGGGACAGCTTCCTGCCGAGTTGGCCTCCTGGCTTCACTCATCTCCCCTCCCCCCTCCTGCAGCACCAGACCCCCTCTGACGCTCTAAGTGCCAAGTTGCCCCTAAGCATCGACCCCCACCGAACAGAACCACTGAAGGTTCCGCTGCGCAGGGAAGATATCTGGCTGAATGTTGGCGCCTGTGTCGTTCTGTTCTGCAGCCACACAACAAACTGACCGTCCTCAGTAAATCCTGCCGAACAGAGCTTCTCTCTCTCTGCTGTCCGAGTCCACCTGCAGCTGCCTGTGCTCTCATCACTCAGAGACCGACTCACTCACTCATCTGCTACGTTCTCTTCTCTCCCAAGCGCCATTAATGCACTGATCCTCTTGTAGCACCTAGATGTATTCACAGATGGTTGAGAGCCACGTTGCTCCTGCACTCAGTGGTGGCGGATCCAGAGGTTGGTCAGCTGAGACAGTGACATTAGACACGCAGCCTTTCTCTAAATGATTTGTGGTTTGTTTGTTTCAGCTCTTTGCCTAATTTTCAGTTGGACTGTGGGCAACTGAATCACTTTTTTCCATCTAAGAAATGTTTCCAACTTCTGAAACAGACCATTTTGGGTGGTGAGGATCTGGTTCTGAGTCAGGACCCACAGTAAAGTGTGTGCTTCACAGACCCACACAGGCTGCTGATGAAGGTTTCACTTTAAAACACTAAGTTCATTATTCAGTTCAGTATTCTCTCAATCATTCTCATAAATGTTTTCATAGTTTTCAGACATTTTTAATATTTCACTTTGTTTTTGTCTTTGGAAAAAGATCATGAATTCATATTTTTCTCATAGTCCTAATTAACAAATGATGTCGTCCATTCTCCTAAAAGCTTTAAAAGCCGATACATTCCAAGAATACGAGTGAAGCTGTGTCTCTTTCAGAGCAGAGACAAGAAGAGCCAGTAAAAAACCCAGTGACACGTTGTGTTTTCTTAGAATAATGATGGTGAAGCACTGAGCTTCACAGGGCGACAGCACTTCCACTGCTTTACACCAACACACACACACATGCGCTGCCAGACACACACATCACGAGCATTTCAGAGACACAGTAATGTCCTCATGCCTTCAGTGAACCTCGTCCGTCGCTGCTGTCAGCTGATGGAGGCACCATGGACCCCCACCCCCCGCCCACACACACACCACAAACAATCAATATATCACCATGGAGGTTTCCTTATAAAGAAATGTACTAGTTGCACTGAACATGCAAATTGAAGAGCAGACGGTCCTTTCACTCAAGCAGACACACATTTGTTTTCTTGTCAGGAACAATACAAACTCACAACGTGGGCATGACGTGCAAATAAAAATAGACGTCATCATCACACTAATAAAAAAACAACCTGGGGATTATTGGTTTCACTTGTTTCTTTAAAACACCCTGGAGAATCATTTTCAATCCCCTGTGTGTGGTTGTGTGTGTGTGTTGTGCTGTATTTGATTAATTACTGTAGATAAGAACTAGCACGGATTCACAGGGGAACTGAAAAGCAGCTCATTTGGACCCGTTCCATTTGTTTCATGTTTTGGTTTGAGGTTATTTGTGTTTAAATAAGTGAAGTGCACATAGACTAACATGCTGCTGGTTTCATAAGAACATGACCTGCATGTGGGATTTATTACATTATCTTACATTATATCATGGACATTATGGTCCAGCTGCGCTGCTGTTACTGCACTGGTGCGCCTTCACAGCCTCCCACAGGAGAGTCGACCTGTGGGAGTGTCTGGGTGACTCAGTGTGAAACACTGGTGTCAAACTGGCTTTAACAAAACCACCTCTGGACGTGAAGATGCGGTGCAGCAACAGGCGGCAGCTGATAGAAGTCAGTAAGGTTTGGGTGATTTGCAGGTGAACAGAGACCTGGGAGCCACAGTCAAATACATCAGTGGAACTGCTGGTTTACCTCTGCTACAGCTGGACCAGCAAGTAGATCTGAACGTTTCAGAGGCTCCCGCTCTCCAGTAGCACCAACCGGCTGCCAGGCCACACTTCATGGATAATCATAAGTTCTAATTTTTCATGTTTAGACACAAGACTAAAGGGCATGAGTCTGGGGTGGACTTGGAACAGACGTGGTGTGGTTTGAATGGTGTCACTGTTGTGTTGGGGAACGCATTATGTAAACGATGGTCAGTTATCTGCAGCTCTAAGACTCCAGATGTGTTTTCACATTTATATCATGAACCTTTCTTCGTCTTCATTTTCTCCGTCTTCCCTATCACTCGTTTGTGTCTAGACATCGTTTTGGTAGATTAGTGAGGACACGAGCGGCAGCTGGCTTTAATGTACTTAATATTAATCAAGAAAGGAGGGTCCACATGGTGGATGATGCATTAAAGGAGGAGTTTGAGAAAACCGAAGAAAGATTTAATGTCAGTTTCCTCATATGAAACATAATTAGCATTTGGTTTAGTCTGTTTCAACTTGTATCAAACTGTTCAATCAGGTTTTCATATCTGGAACAAATAAACATTTCTGGCATCTTGTTTCAAGTCGTTCAGTTGTAATTACTCATGTTTTCTTCTCAGTGAGGCTCCACTTCTATCACCCAGAAACACCTCTGAAACACCAAACCAGTCACATATCATGCTTTAATAACTACAGATATCGTTTAAAAAGCAGTAATCATCAGAACACCATCCAGAGCAGGTGGCTTCACGGTCCACAGCCTGAGGGCCGTCACATCTCTGGTACCGTTAAATGAAGTTTGGGGACTGTGAGAAGAAAAGTCAATATCGATCGATATCAGAGGTTGACAGCTTTTTCTCTCCACTCAGCCCAAGATGCCTGAAGCCTTTTGTTTGTGAAAGAGGAGACAGGAGGTAAATGGTCCCCGACTGGAGTTAAATAGAGAAGCCAAGCTGCTGTAGACACAGGAGGCAGGTCAGACACAGCAGGCTCTCCGACCTCGTCTCTTCTGAGCCGCTCACGTCTTTTATCACTAGTTACATTCATTCACATGCTGCATCAAACCAAAGCAGCTGAATAAACCAAGTGTCCTGTGTAACAGGTCATCAAATATCAGCATCTGATACATTTCAACCAGTCATCAAACTCAAAAGGTAAAGTTACCTCTGTTCACAAACCTTGTCATTTTAACATTCACATGTACAGTGTGTGGTTCATGCGTTCGTCATGCATACAACAGGAAGTTGGTTTGAGCTGCTAGATTCACTGTTACACTTCATGAGGATTCCACTATCTCAGGTGTCCACTACAAATAAACACCCAGAAGCCCAGGTAGCACTCAGAGTAAATGCTCCTGGTTACTGCAGACTATCATCACATTTCACTCATTCTCTCCAGGCATCAGTGGCAGAGCTAATTTGTTTTTATGTTTTTTTTTCTTGTGTGAAACCTTTCCCAGTTTTAACAAGTATTCGTGTTGATGCACAGATCATATTCCCGGGTGACAGTTTATAGCAAACTGAAATATTTATGGCTATTATTTCTGTTAAGGGGAATGCTGCAGACTTTTTAGACACAATACATCTGCAATAAAACTGATTAGATGATTAGTCACAGTGCTGTTACCTGAGCGAATGAACGACTGAGTGATGGCTCCATGCAAAAATAAACATTTCTGTGCCACCACAAAGTGAAACTAGTCTCAGCCTGGCCACGGCTATGAATGTTTTTCATAGCGACTCTGCCACCAACAGTCAGGAACCAGATTAGAAACAGTTTTCCGCCACCTTCACCTGGGGCGTAATCTGTTCTGTCAGGTCTGTTTGCCTGTTTGTCTGTTGCAGACAATCTTTAAACTTCCCAATTTTCAATGCAATTTGGTGGAGAGTTCGTGGTTTCTTAGAGAAGAGAGCTTTTTAAATGATTCTTTGTAAAATGTTCTGCCCCTCTACATGTGCACATCTTCGAGCCGACTGCAGAGGAAAGTAACAGCACATTTTAGAGCCAGTCAACTGACACTCCAGTGAACTGACAGGTAGGACAAAGAGGATGTAAGATTGTGTAAACTTTGGTATCACATGTTAGTGATCATTAGCACAGAGCCCTAATTTAAAGTGTCTGTCCATGACGTTCCAGCCCACATGTAGTCGAGCCTTGACTCCAGCTAGCTAATGTGAATAATTCTTTCAGATGTTTGGTCTGCGGCCCACACACGCGCCTCGAAGAGGCTGAGTTTGACTGATTTTATTAGAGGCTGCCTGGAGGTGGGCAGACAACAGCCTCTCAGCACAGAGTCGGGTTTCTGAGACTCTCTAGACCAAACATCTCGTCTCTGTTTAGAATGAGCTGCGTGTAGGAACAGCAGACGGCCACAGGAACGTTTTGGGGTCATCACCATGAGGCTGCCGGACAACTTTTACCAAGAAGCAATCCAGCACATAACTCCCAGACATGGTGCAACATGTTCAATGACCTTTGGGCGGTGGTAGCAGATGTGCTTCTGCTGCCTCCCCCTGTTTGCACTCTCTATGCTAACTAGGCTAATCGCCTGCTGGCTCAGATACACACTTAACCCACATGCATGAGATTGGCAGCAATCTTCTCATCTAACTCTTGGAAACAAAATTAATAAGCCTGTTTTTTTCAAAGTAGCTAATATCTAACTACGGCTCATGCCCTGTGGTTCAGTTGCACAGCATCACATTTTGAAAGTAAAGCTACCATTTTATTACCTACATATTAACATAAAGAAGTTAAGATTTTAAATTAAATTTCCCTTTAAAAGACCTGGTCGTCAACTCTTGTCTATGGAAAATGTTTCTGGGGTTTAAACTCACTTGGAAGACGTGTCTCCAAGCCTACCCAAAGCTGGAAACCCAGCTGACAGTCGACTGGCGCTGCATTTCCGTCCGCGCTGTTTTTCTTTTACTGTTTGCTTTGTGATCTCCTGAACAGTCAGACACACTAAATGCAGATCTCTTTCTAAAAATAATGAATTGCGGAAGAATAGAAAAAGGGATAATCCATGACAAGGGGTGCATTAACGGACTCAGACACAACAAGGAGACAGCCACTCGCTGCTTTGTGTCAGATGCCTCCACACAAACCTCACTGTGGGCAGGAGCTGTTGCAACTGTTTTGTACTGGAGGTAAAAATAGTGATAACTGTTCGCAGTCAGATCTGTGGATGACTCAGTTTCTGGGAAGTCTTGTAACTTGTGCTGTGGAGGAGAACTTTAAACCTCAGGACATAAAACCGGATGATCCCACAAGAGAACCAACTTTTTTGGAGACTGATTGAAACACCTCAGACTTGGGTAGAAGATCATATGCAGCCAGAATTTATGGACAGATAATCTAACTGACCACAGTAGCATGCTCGAGGCTAGTTAGCATATTAGCATGTATCTTACCAGCTATACTAGTCACCCAGCTGGCCCTGCCAAGTTTTAGCACCAATTATTTGACCAGGTGATGAATTTTGTTGTATGATTATCTCATGATAATGTTATTAGTGGCACCACAAGGAAACAGGAGAGGTAAAACACCTCACTGATTTATGACAAGAAGACACCGAAGACCAATGCAACAATGCAATCGGCATTTTGTGGACAGTGCATCTGCTTTTGTTACTAATAACATATCCATTAAAGGTTGAATTTAATATCTTACCACCAATCAGAAACAATAATTCACCGGGTTTTATTAAAACAAATCAGAAACCGCAGAGTGTCTGCTGTTTGTTTTGCTGCTCCCTGACCAGATGTGTCATATTTCAGTTTGCACAGGATGCACTTGTTTTTATTCAAGACCTGCTTTTGACTGGCCAGCTGGCTAAACAGTAGGGATGCAAACCAAACCGCAGCATGCTGCACTGTGGCTAGCCTGGTCCCCCAAGCTGAAAAAGACAAGAGGCAGAATTTATCAGTGACGGGCAGCTTCTCCCGGTCTTCCTCCACTTTTCTCCACCAGGAACCACTTTTCATTCTCATCATGAACAGAGATTACTTCTGTTTCCTACTTTAACTAAACACGGAGCCTGTTTCTTCACTATCACAGCAACAGCAGCAAACATGACTAGTTTATCCAACAAGTATTTGTTCAGCACTGCTGTTAACACTGAATAAACAGGTTCCCAGTGGACACCGAGCTTCAGGTTGCTGTTTTCACTCGGCCCATCTCATGTCTTCTTCACTGGTCTCATCAGCACGCTCAAAACTTTTTTATCCTCCAATTCATTCCTGTTTTTTCTAGAGTCTGTCCAAGTCTCTGTCCTGCCATTAGGGACTCTGCTGCTCCATGTTATCAATCAAAGGATCTTTCTTCATGAACTGCAGATGTCTGATGGACCTCCAAACCCCGACGTAGCTGTCGCTGAGTGACTGGCGAGAGGTTGGGGTGTTCTCCCTGTGGAGGTGCTCCCTTTGCACCTCCAGCACCTCTTTTTCTGTCATGACATGAGAATTTATGCCTGCTTCTCCATGTCCTTGTCCACCATCTCCTGTCCACAGCTGTCCGTTAGCCAGTGCCTCCTCCTGACCATCAGAGCTCAACACTCCCTCTATCTCTGGGTTTCCTGGGTCAGATCCATCACCGTTCAGTGGCGGTTTCTCTCGATAAGGCTCCCCTGGCAACGCTCCATCCTTCGCACCTTCCTCCAGGTCCTCATACAAGCTCTTCTTCTTCATCTCAAAATATTTAACCACGCAGTAGGTGATGGACCCAACAGTGTTCACCACCACGCCAGCAATGAACAGCCTGGTCGGTGCGACATCACTGAACGCCAGCATGCCGACGGTGATGGTGGCAATGCTCTTGACCACACCGACGAAGCTGGTGGTGACGGCAGAGTTGATGTAGGTGCAGTGCAACGTGGTGAAGTTCATGGCGCAGCCAATGAAGGTGCAGAGGATGAAGATGACTGTGATGTGGGGGTCTTTCCAGCCCTCATACGACCACATGTTGATGGCGTCCATGGAGATGAAAGCACATACCAGCAGCACCTGAGAGGAAAAAGGTGAGTAAGTGAAATGGAGACAAAACTCAAGGACCAGAAGAGAAAGAGCAAAGAACAGAAACAGCACAGTGTCCGCCAGTCCTTACCGGTGAGGCCATGATGGCGATGGCGTACTGTGCGGTGAGCGGCCCATACTCACTGTCCAGACTGGTTTTCTGTATAAGGACCAGGTAGGAGGCGTGGATGATCACCGCCAGCACACCAGTGACATAACCAAAGGGATCACCAGTAAGATCACCAGCACCTGGAGGGAAGAGTCACGTGACGACTCAGACCATGAAGATACAAATAAATAAATAAAGTTTTTTTTTTTTAACAATTAATTTTGGACAGTTTTCTTGAGGTCTGTGCCCATTTCTGACCGGTGTGGCCCTTTGGATCCATGACTGCTTTCATACAGCTTTATATTTGAGTTGGAGCTGAAAAAGGACACATGGGGTTAGAACAGGTTCAAAGGTTGAGATGTTGAGATTTTGGCTTTGTAAAAAAATGTGACAACCTCAGAAGGATTTGTTGCTTTTACATCAGCTCCAAACCTTGACAAACCTGCGGTGCCTGGTTTTATTTGCAGAACTGTGATTGGACAATCACCGCTTGGGGGTGGAGTTTAACAAATGGTTAATCATGAACATGTAAACACACAACTGTGCTCGAGTGGATGTCAATAAAAGCTCCGAGACTTCCTTTCTCAAACACTTGCCCTAATGGGGGGGACTAGCGACCAAACACCTGGCTTCATTGTCGGATACTTGCACTGGGCCGAGCGTCACCTCCTGTTGTGAGTCAGGCTTCTTGAAAGACGGAGCAATAAAAAGAGAGCGCAGGACAGAAAGGAAGAGTGTGTGGGACAGATGAGGACTGGAGTACTGTTCATGTGCTGAGTCTGTATGGAGGCTGGAAACTTGCATTCAGACTGAGGGAACAACAACAAACAACATCACAAACAACAATTCTAAAATAAACAACAATAGCCTTCTAAAGACCTTAAAACATGTTAAAGTTTCTAAAATAAAAGTGATATTTGGGGGTAAATTTGCCTCTGATTTCGAGGCTCTGAAACTAAAGTCAAAAGTTGAAAAAATAAAACACGTTACCTTCACATTTAATATGAAATCTGATCAAAACACTGTTGATAATCAATCAGAATCAATCATATTAATGATTTTTCCTTTATGAGCTGTGCAGGCTGGCTCAGTGGCTGCTTGGCCCCCGCCCTGTCCAGACCCTGCCATCCCCCACCTGTCTACTAGATGTCCCTAGACTTCCTGAACATCGTCGGCCACCTCCTGCTCCTCCCAGCACACCTGTTCCCTGTCACCAGTGCTTTTTCACCAGCCTTTTCCCTTGTTCCTCTGCCGGACTCTCATGCCTGTTGCTGCCATTTTAATTTCTTTATCTTAAAACAAAGATAAAAGCTCTGCCCATATGTTTTCTATCTGCATAATGAAGAATCATGACCCAATCTGCCACAGTGGCAACATGTCGATACCAAACAGTGGTTAAATTATCCAGTTCTGCGATAGAGTACAGCAGGAGGTTCAGGTGAGGGTTAGGTGGACGCTGACTTCAGGCACAGGTTTAACACTGAACCGAAGCCACAATCTTTCCTCCCACCCAGAAGATAAGAAATAGGCTTTTCTCAGTCTCCTAAAGCAGATATTTATTTCTGGTCATCCTTTTCAGCCATTATCACGCAAACTGTGATGAACTGAAACCATCTCACTTGATAAATCTGTGAGAGACGCCTGGAAGATGGAGAAGAGAAAAGACGATTATCAGCCAAATAAATCCCAGAATGATGAATGTGTCCATTAGACGCACATTTCACACTTTGTGTTTCAACCCCCCACCCCCCACTGAGAGCAGCCGCGGGAAGAGACTGATCCAGGAAATTAATTATCTGTAGGTTTTTCTTTTATGATTTCAGGTTCATTAACAGTGGAAGTGGAACATTTACTGCTGGGAAAGATGATACAAGTATTTTTACAACTCAGAAACGAATGTGATGGTTAAACACATATGAAGAGAAACTGTTTAACTTGGACTTTTATGGGGAAAAAGCTGCCAGGGGCCTGGTTCTGGATTTTGTCTGTGGAAGTTAAATGCAACTGAACATCAGAGAGGTGGAGGGAATAACGGAGCTAATAGACTGAGTGGACGAGAAAAGAAGAGGAAGGAGAATTCTGATGAAGAGCAGGAGATGCAGGTGAAAGCTGGGAAAACAGTAGCAGACCTCTGAGCTCAGTGTCTCTCCACAGACAGATGAATGTTTGTGCACTCGTACCAGGTTTGTTTGAGAAAGAAAGACAGGATGTGTGAGTTCAAAGAGGAAAATGAAAAGTACGTTCCAGAAACTCCTCAGGAATTTGCAGTCACCACAAAAACACACATGTAAACACAAATTCACACAGTCCCCAACCAGTTCCTCGCATCTAAGACACTAGGAAAAGACATGAGTGACACAAGTGAGGGAAACATAGATGTGACTAAGGGAACTGGGATTGTGCCCTAGTGGAGGGTTTAGCAACTAAAGAGTCCAATGTTTCCTTCAGGATGTGTTGGAGACCAAAAACAGAGCTGAAAGGATCGGGTGGGCACAAACACCACTCCGAATCAATGCCACAGTTGCTCTGCTAGATGCAGACAAACAGCTGTTTGCTAATGAAGTTTCCATATCAAATTAAAATGTGATATCAGTTTCTTACTGGCTAACAAACGCACACATGAGCATTCAGCCCTGAAAGATAAGGTAGTCCTGTCATCCTACTAATATGTGTCAAGGAGAGCCAAGAGTTGGACAGCAGCAAGCCCGAGCAGGCCTCAGCACACCAGCAGCAAAACTGTGGTTAAGAAAAGGAGCAACGTTTCTGTGAATAAGGGAAGTTAGCAGACACATCCCTACAAAAGAGGAACTGCCGGCAGAGATGTGTGTGTAAATGTAAATATAATGGTTTGATGCATAAAGTAAAGACTTGATTGATGAGTGTTAATCAATGTAAGTGTTAAAGTGATTTTATATTCAAAATAATATAGTCCTCTATGCTTTAAATTCAATGCATTGACAGTTTTTGTGTAACAGTTTAATTCTGATGGTTTAGTTATATTATGATGGGATTTTCATATTTTGATCAGATGTGAGATTCTTACATTTTTATCAGTGATATTTGTTTTTGAGAAAACAGAAGTAGACAATGCTGAATCACAGTGGATGGAGGCCGCGGGCAGTGTACTGAACCTTGGTGGTAAAAGATGCGCAAAAGAGAAAAACAAGACTTCGCACGCCAACGGTGGTAATGGCTGAAAGCTGTGGCATCTGATTGGATGAGAGGACGAAGCCTACGTGACAAGAAGCCTGTAAAAACCATAACCAAAATCAGGTGAACTTTACTAACTGCTCTGCTTCTCAGTGTAATACTACCGGCTACTGGAACCGTATTAGTGCTAATAGGGCTTAGATTTCTGGAAACCTGCTGTAAGCTCAGTCATTTTTGATGCAGAGTAATCACAGAAAAACTCTTTATTCTAAAAAACCTGGACTGGAGCAGTGGTGTGTGAGTGTGTGTGCTGCATGGCTACAGTACAGTAGCCTTGTTTCTCCATACTTGTGTGGCCCGAAATCCAAGAGCTTATCCAATGGGGTATAAGGTTAAAGCAAGTGTAGGCTTTGGTTAAGTATTAGGGTCAGGGTCAGGGTCAGGGTTAGCACCTCTGGTTAAGGGTTAGGGTCAGTCTCCTGGAGATGAATGTAAGTCTATGTAGGGACCCAGTAAGTGACAAAAACAAGAATATGTGTGTGTGTGTGTGTGTGTGTGTGTGTGTGTGTGTGTGTGTGTGTGTGTGTGCTTACCAGC